CGTATAAAGACATCTAGGATGCAGCTGGACGATCTAGACTTCGCAGATGATCTGGCCCTCCTATCGCAATCACAACAACAAATGCAGGAGAAAACGACCGGTGTAGCAGCAGCCTCAGCAGTAATACGTCCAAATATACACAAAGGGAAAAGCAAGATTCTCCGATACAACACAGCATGCACCAATCCAATTACACTTGACGGAGAAGATTTGGAAGATGTAAAAACCTTTACGTATTTGGGCAGCATCATTGATGAACAGGGTGGATCTGATGCAGATGTGAAGGCGCGGATCGGCAAAGCAAGAGCAGCATATTTACAACTGAGGAACATCTGGAACTCAAAGCAACTGTCAACCAACACCAAGGTCAGGATTTTCAATACAAATGTCAAGACAGTTCTACTGTATGGGGCAGAAACCTGGAGAACTACAAAAGCCATCATCCAGAAGATACGAGTGTTTATTAACAGTTGTCTACGCAAAATACTTCAGATCCATTGGCCGGACACTATTAGCAACAACGTACTGTGGGAGAGAACAAACCAGATCCCAGTGGAGGAAGAAATTAGGAAGAAGCGCTGGAAGTGGATAGGAAACACATTGAGGAAAGCACCCAACTGGATCACAAGACAAGCCCTCACATGGAATCCTCAAGGCCAAAGGAAAAGAGGAAGACCAAAGAACACATTACGCCGAGAAATGGAAATAGACATGAGAAAAATGAACAAGAATTGGATGGAACTAAAAAAGAAGGCCCAGGACAGAGTGGTTTGGAGAATGCTGGTCGGCGGCCTATGCTCCATTAGGAGTAACAGGCGTAAGTAAGTAATCACGTATAAGATAATAGGTCTTGGATATTAGTGTGTAATTCATTCATCCATTTGGTTAAAGAGCCTTTTTTGGCATTTTAGCTGATATCAGTTCATGATGAAAACCATAAATCTAATACTTAACCCTTAATCATCAAAAGTAAATCTTAATTCTAGTTCCTCATCATGGTTTATAACCATCATTTAGTCTTAGTTATTAGGTGGACATTCTCAAGGTCACTTTAGAGTCTCTCAAAGGTCTCCATAAATTATAGTCTCACCATCTAATATTTTAAGTTCTAAAAATCTACAGTTTATCTAATGTTACTAGAAAAAAGTACAGCACTGATTTTCAGCAAACATGGATAGTACTATAAGTGGAATCCAGGATGCGCGTTTCTTTCTATTTGGGATTCGTCAGCTGGGTGTATCTGCACCTCGGGATTGATGTCCACTCTGGGACTCGAACCCAGTATCGTTCACTCCAAACGCCATCACGTTATCCACTTAGCTACTGAGTTCTGTATAGCCACCTACTTGTGCAATGTAGTAAAGTTTAAATTCACTTGGTGTTGACTATCTTTAGTCTAAATCAGTAATTTATATTACTAAGCTAAAATAAATAACATTTTGATATATAAATGTCCTGTTTAGTAAAACAGTAAAAATTCAATAAAGTGGAAAAGAGAAAATAGATGAAAGATTTATTAAGACTAATTTATCTCAATAATTAAAACAAGTGCCATTAAAATTTCAACAGTATTGTGATGTGGATTACTTATATCCACATAAGCAGTATATAACGGTGGTCATGTATGTAGTAAACAGAACACGAGTGGAGACAATCGAATTATATTTAGCACAAAATTACAGAGTTACTTGGTAGAATAGAAAAACCATACTATAATACTTAATTTGCAAAATGTTCAATAATTGTCTCGAAATTTATTGCTCTTGCATTCCCATACTAATTGCTTTCTATTATCGCTCTTCCTTTCTTGATCTTCCCTATCTTCTGCCGCCAACCATTACATTCTTGACTCGCGTCATATACTAATTTTGTCAATATAAGTAGCACGCACCACAGTCAGACATAGAATGTATTTTAGCAGAAGATCGTTATGAGAGGAACGGATATGTAACGCAATAGGTATGAAAATGCATGAACAATGAAATCTGAGACAATGGATTGATATTTACAAAAGGAACAGTGAAGTATGAGACGATGGATTGATATTTTGCAAATTAACTATTTACTATATGGCTCTTAGATTTTATTGAAATGCTCTGTAATTTCGTATCAAACACATTCAATTGTCCCCACTGATGTTTTGTTTACTCCATTTAAGTAGTTATGCATTTATAATTAATTGAAAATAGCTCATCTTAAGAAATTGTGATAAACAGTACAAGATTTAATCAGTTAAACAAAATTGTTATTTTTTGGCAGAAAAAATTAATTAAAATTAATTACGTCATAGGATGAAGAAAAAAAGTTGTTTTTCTATCGAATAAATCGAATTCTCTATATACTTTTTGGTATTTAGAAATTCAATATAAATTAAAACAAAAATAGTTTAGATTTTGAAAGGGCATGTTAAAATGTTAATTATTAAGCATTTGTATCAGAAAGGGTTTTTTTGAGAGTGTAGTAATTTCAGTAGTGGGGATCATGAGTCATTTGAGGCTAGACCACCACGGAAAACCTGAGAACACTGGAATGACGTTTCGTCCTGTTGTAGGACTCCTCAGCAGTGCTCATCCACGATCCCGCCTCGCGGGATTTGAACACAGGATCTATCAGTTTCGCCCACGAGCGCTTAACCTCTAGATCACTGAGCCAACTGGCATCTAACGGTATTAATGTCTAACTTCAACTAATCCACGAAATTGAGCGATACATCCACCATTGTCATCAGTGAGTTAGTATCTCACAACTGATCCGGTTGAACCCCACTGGTCACTGCTTCTCACTAGAACTCCAGGAAATATCTGTTGAGGCGAGTCACTAATTAGCATATGTTGATTAGTATCAGAAGCGGAGGAGTCCCACAATAGGACGAAACGGCCGTCCAGTGCTTCCAATTTTTGCATGGTAGTCTAGCTTCAATTGACTCATGATTTGAACTTGTGAAATTTTCTGAATTAGATGAAATAATTGTGAAGATCTAATGGTTATATTTAGAGATAATTAAAAAAGTTAACTATTACATCATCAAATAAAACAAAATTTTCTTTCCAATCTTTAAACGAAGGTGATTAAATTATTAACATTCATTTTATAGCATAATCTAATAAGCTAGTTTTGTAGTTTTAGTTAGTAGTGGTTCTAACAAACATGAGCACAAGATCACGTTTGTTGATACGCACCATTTTTCATGATCATACTCAATTATGTGCTGTCTTATGAATGGATTTTATTAGATATATGTATACATATCAAATAGACAACTTATTAGACCAAATTTTTAGTTTATTACATTGAGTTGAAACATATCAATCAATATTCTGTATTCTGCAGATAAGTAGCTGTTGCTATAGTTACAATGGCTGCTTTATAGTAAATGTTTTTTTTATTACCAGTTTCGCGGATCATTGTTGTAGGTTTAAAATGATCTTTGAAAAAGTATCACAGTTAAATGTTTATAATTTTTAATTATATTTATATTTGTATTCACTGTTACATAATTTAATAAACAGTAGAACACTATTTCTGTTCAGTTGAATATTGATTTCAAAAAGAGACTAATCAATTTCATTCTTAGATGACAATAAAAATAATTCAAACTACCAATACAAATAAATGAAAATTCAACCCACTGAACAACCCAGTAGATAAGTGAACAACATGATAATTTCTGAAACAAATTGTATTAGGTTCAATTCCGTGAGTGAATATAAACGTCTTGCTGTAGTAGCTACATCCATGTATCAATTCTCAAAAAGAAAGAAATTCTCGTCTTGGATTCTATTACTACCCTCCAACTAAATCACCTTTTAATGCTTGTGACAATCGGAGTCTTAGGGCAATTCACATGAGATGCACCTATGTTAAAAGAGACCGATCAATCGCAGTCTTAAACATCTGTGTAAATTTTCAAACAACCAATTCAAATTAATTTATCTATAATGTTTAAGATTCAGGGTTTCGGAGTGTTACTTTACCTGATCTTAATAACACTGAATGTATTTTTAGTGGGTTTGCTTAGTTAATCAGTCATCTCGATAACCGTTATTATATAAATCCCAATTGTGTTTGAAATCGGAAGGCAGTAAGGAGCGGCAACTAGAGTTTATTAGCGGATAACACAGATTACAAGGCTAAAAACATATCAGGCGAATTTGAAGCAGAGAGGCGAATGTGTGTGTATGCTAGCAAATATAGAGGCGAATTTCTAGTTAAATCGAATAATGGCAAAGCGAGGCAAAGGCTATCAATTAGATTCTAGTACATATATATATGGGAAAAAGAATGAATCATCGAACGATATTTAAGCTAGAGGGTGATAGAATTAATCCGTGTCTGTTGTGAGGCAATTACTCGCTGAAGACAATGAAGTCGAGCAATATCGTGGATTGGTCAAAGTTAGACATTAACACCGTTGGATACCGGCCCAGTGGTCTAGAGGTTAAGTGTTCGCGCACGAGATCTAAGGCTCTGAGTTTGAGTGGCGCATGCGCGACAGTGGATGCGCACTGATGAGGAGTCCCAAACTAGGATGGAATGGCCGTTCAGTACTTCCAAGGTTTCAGTGGTGACCTGACATTGAACCAGCCATGGTATCAATCTAAGCTCAACAATCTCTATAACCTTTTACTGATAATATATGAAATCATTGTAATCATAAATCGTTCAATAATAAATATATTTTTTGTTATATCCCAATGAGAAGGGGTATTGTGGAGATTGTAGTAACTTCAACAGTTGAGATCATGAGTCAACTGAAACTAGACCACCATGGAAAACCTGCAAGTACTGGAAGGCTGTTTCGTCCTATTGTGGAACTCCTCAGCAGTGCGCAATCACGACGCCGCCTCGCGGAATTCAAACCCAGGATCTATCCCAATGAGTAGAAAACTATCAAATTCAATTTTGGCATGGATACCTATAAACTCATAAGTCGTTCAAATTGAAAATTTAAATTACACTTAATAAATTGGATATACATAACACACACAAAAATGACTTACCTTATTATATGTTCGCCAATTACGATATTTTGCTGGTATTTTCACTAAACAAAATCGATCTAATGTAATTAAAAATACAGTATATTGACTTGTAAGACATGCTGAAAAATCTAATGATAACCATAAATCACAAATTAAATGACCTAATGGCCAATAACCAAGTAATTGATATGTAATAAATAAATTCATAGAAAATAAACCAATTAATACATCAGTCATAGCTAATGATGCTATAAAATAATTACTTGGTATACGTAATGAACGTTCAACAAAAAATGCAATTAATACTACAATATTACCACCAAGTGTAGCAGTTGATACGGTTGTTGCTAATAATGCTATTATACTTGTTGTGAATGGTGGAAAAATACTGGTGAATGTGTAATTCATTAGCTGATTAGGAATTAGGTTAATGTTTTATTTTTGAAAGGAAAAATTAATGTTTTTCTTTGTAGGTGATTAATTTCTTGTTATTTGAAATAATGTTCTATATCACCAATTGTACTTGGCTATAAGTGAAAATGAAAAAGTGAATAGAAATAATAAGTGTACGAAATTTAAGTACAATTAATATATATATAACTGCCAATAAACTTTATCTGGCCGTTTATATACCAAGTTGGTAGATGTTCACTCATTCGTTGGTTAAGTTGCCTGGTAGTATGTTTCATTAGCAGAGCAAAAAAGATCTGTACAGTAGATACTCTAAGTCAGGAGCTTGAATTTATCAACAACTCACTAACCGAGATCGGCTATCTCAGTGCTTTCATTAAGAAGTACATGTATGACATCATAAAGAAGTCGAAGATTTCGACTGTTCGTAAGAAACCTTTATACATGAAAGTACGATTCAACGGGGATGTGGCTAGTGATACTCTGAAATATAGGTTAACTGAAGTAATCACCAGGGTGTTCTACGTAGCCAATCTTGCGTTGACCTTCTCTTGTCGGCCAACGATGTCTACTTAAACGAAGGATAAATTACCTGAGTTGGCCTCTTCAATGTGCATTTACAAATTCAGCTGCTCCTGTGGAGATAGCTATATCGGGCGTACTACCAGGCAACTTAACCAACGAATGAGTGAACATCTACCAAATTAATATATATGTCAATGAAAATTTGAATGGTGTAATAAGAAGATGAAGATTATCAAAATTATTTTTCAGTACATAAAGGGGGTTTTGACTGATAATTCAATAAACCTGAGTATACACCCTGGACAACTTTTGAGCGAAACTACAAAAAAGTGATTTAATATCAGTCTTATGACCAGTCTCAACTATGTGTTTAACAATGGAAGATGATGAATGTTTGTTACCTGCTCTTATTGGGTAATTTGACCTGATTTGTTTGTGCAGCCATTTTGGTACATATTCAGAGAGCATATGTATGTGTGGGAACAGACACATGAAAATTGATAACATATTGGGATTTGACGCCGTTTAGATTATGTTATGGCATTTGAAGCAAACGTAATTGGGTTCGAGTCCCGAAGTGGATGTCAACTCTGGGATGCAGGTACATCCAGCTAATGAGTCTCAAATAGGATGAAATGCGCGTCCTGAATTTCCCTGCTCGCCACCATCCATGTCTGCTTATAAATATTAATTTGCCCGTACTATATAAATGGAACTTACTGCTCAGTTTTGCATGATTATTTGTCAAATTAATACCTTAAAGTTTTCTATGGATATACCGTAGTGTATTAATTCATCCAGAATCATTTTTATTTGTGAATCCTATGTAGCTCTAGTTAACCTGCTTCTTTAACTATCATGTTCGTAAAAATTGAATCACTTAATCAGAAAAAAATTATAATTGTACATTGATGTAATTGATTTTCTTCACAGTTGTAAACCAAGCAAGAATGATAATAATTTAAGAATGCAATGAATTCATTCTAGTATGTTGAATGATCTTCGAAAATTCCAGAACTAGAACTCCGAAGAGTTATAGAAAACACTGTCAAGTTTAAACTGAATTCAGTTGTTGACTTTAGAATAACTTATTCTTCTCCAATGGACTACTTATTTATTTATGTTCTTTTTAATTACAAGTATTTTGATATTTTGAGCTTACTAAACTTACCATTTTTTTATGTAGCTGTCAATGGAAAGCCGACAATTACTTAATATATTCCTTGTGTTCTGTATATTTTGTTACATACACACTGTGATATCGTAAATAGCGATGTTGATCGATACTTGATACTTGGATAAAATGTATGAAAGTAACATACTTAAATTGTTTAGTTAAGTAATATAAACTATTTCATATAATAAAAATGGTAGAATGCTGATCAAACTAATACAGTATAAGCCATTGACGTTGCTAATGGAATTTATGAATAATAAGAAATGATTTTTCAGTGTATTATAGATGTCAGACAATAATGTTTTCACATTGAAAAAAAGTGGTTTTTTTAGCTATACGAATATATTACTAATCAAACGTGTTACCTGCATAGATTAAAGATTATAAACATATCAGATTTTATTAGTAACAACTCAGAACTCATTATACAGGCTGAAATTACAGTGGTTTATCTAAAAAGAATATGTACCGAACTCAAATAATCTCTTATAATTCGATAGAACAATAAGAAGATGGAGTTGATCTGAAAAATGTGATGTAGTTGCGTTATACGTTTCGAACAATCTGGCCACACATATACTTGGGAAGATACAAACAAACAATACCAAGTGATTTAAACTTCAGCACATTGCACAACTTAGTGACTATGAGGACTCACTACCCAAGTGGATAACACGACGGCGTTTGAAGCGAACGGTACTGAGTTCGAGTCTCGGAGTGAATATCAACTCTCAGATGCAGATACATCCAGCTGAGGAGTCCTAAATAGGAAGAAACGCTCGTTCTGTATTTCACTTCTAGCCACTATCCATTTTTTTTGCTTAAACACTGTGTATCCACAAGGCAACTAATTTAATAAAGAAAACTTTTCACTGTTTTATCCTGTTGTTTTCTGAGTTTGGAATTTAAACAACCATTCATTCGTTCACTTATTGTCCATACTAGAAATATACATCATAATTTAGTGAATTTTTATGCTTTATGTTATTCTAGGTATTCAAAATTTGGGTAAGAATCGAGACAAGGTTTTTTCCATCTTGTTTGTTTTGTTCATAACTGCCCCGCTGAGACGTTTACCTGCTGACAATATTAATATGAATTAATGTGTTTTTTTATCAATTACTTTAATCATCTTATAGTTTATATAATGTGAAAAAATTCTTAATGGTCACTTACGTGTAGAGTTTCAATCTAAATAAACCAACCTGTATAACAATTAATGAATCATAAACCCATCATACATTTTGGCCGATAACCTAGAAGTTGTAGAATATGTTCTGTTTTTAATTATTTACAAACCTGAATGGGAGATTTAATAGTTCAACTAAGTTTTAATGTATCTAGCATTATTACTAACTCGAAAAGAATTAAAGATGTAGTGATTTACCAAATGGTATTAAAATTAGTTTCATTATAGATCATAAACTACTTATCTTTAATGTCGAAGGACTGTATGAAGTATTAAGCTGACATTAAATAATTAATTATCTGGTGGTGAACTGCAATCATCATGTTGAAATGTATTCGAAACGTAGGTTCTATCCTGATTGGAACTGATGAACGTGATGTAACTGAATTTGGGAATCGATCATATAACTGTAACTCAAGCCCATGAAAAAAATGAACAATAATTTTAATATTAGCGTAGTCATGTTAGTATCGTAGTCCAGTGAAGTACCCAATTCCATTTAAATATATGGATAGCAGCATCAATCGAAATAAAACCATCTTCAATTTATGGGTATCACTGTTTCTTTGATTGGGATTCCTTGTTTCACTATTAAGCATTAGTGTTGAATAAACCAGTGTTAGAAGTAGATAGATCTTCAATAATACTCAGTATTCTATTCGACAAAAGCATCATGAACAGTTAAATCATCTTAAAGAATGAGTATTCATGTTTCACGTGCAATATCTTAGAATCCAACTATATTAACTAAACATGTCTATGAATACTTTTCCAAACAAATATATACTTGTGGTAGGTAAACAATTCACATGGTTTGCGAGTCACTTAGTCAGTATTAAGTTTTCAATTGTTTCAGCAAATCTACAACTAGTAACTTCTTTATTGCAATGGTGAATAATAGACCATGGAAACTTCTGAATCATAACACCAGAAGGTTAGATCAGTAGACACACGTACCTCTGTTGTTTAGACTTATAACTGACGTGACAATTTAAGTTAGGTACACATGAGCTCCAAGTACCCATAATTATAAGTCAAATAATAAATTAAAATTATAACTGTTTGATAAATACGTATTATAATATGCAAGCTAATTAACCAAATATTAATTACTTTTCATGTTGCTGTTTACTTGACTTTCTCTTAGGAGTCAAACTAAATTAACTTAGAGTTGACTGTGTAGTACACTGGTAAGATTGTGCTCTTTTTTAACGAATAACTCAACTTTCAAGTCATTAAATGTTATTCATCTATAAATGATTGTTTAGTAATAATGTTTCTAAATTCTGTCTGGAGCTTCCGGGTTTTAATCTGAGATTTGTAGGCCATTGATTTTAACGTTAACAGTTAAGGTTATTAGACGACTGAGATTTTCGGATTCCATGTCATTTTAGTTACTTCACGATTGTCTAACTGACAATTCCAATTTTTCGAATTGTATTGAGCTCTCGATAGAATAATATTTAAGCAAAACGAGAGCTACATTATTTACAAAGTATCGTGAATTGATTGCATTTTCTTGCCTTTGCTTTGTTTAGGTTGTTAACTGACATTTAATTAGCAGAGCTGGTTGCCTTTTTTGATGTTCATTGTTGTAGCAATTTTTTTAGACAGTGAAATATTTTCTATGAAGTTAGAATAAGCTACAGTGTTCAAGAAGAACTACTCTGGATACAGCCTTCAAATCGTTATACCTCTCATTGACCAATGAACATAGATGAAGTCAATTCGAAGTAGGTAGAGAAATAAATTAATATATTAAACATATATTTGGTTTTATACTATGTTGACAAAATTCTAGAGGTTTCTATTTTGAAAAAGATGTATTTTTACTAGAGAAGCCCATCCATAGCTGTACATGTTAACAATAAACAATTTCATGGTGTATTTGCGGACTATAGTCAATACATCAATAAGATGTCATCTAAGGACAATACAGTGATGCATACCCCTAATACAGATGGGTTTTGAAGTGATTATGTTAGCTTAAAACCACTGAGTCGAAAGTAGATAGTTCGTATATCTAACTTCAATCAATTCGTGATTTATGGGAACATTTCAATACTTAAGATCATGAGTCAATTAAAGCTAGACTACCATGCAAAATTTGGAAGCACTGGACGGCCGTTTCGTCCTATTGTAGGACTCCTCCATGGTGGTCTAGCTTTAATTGGCTCATGATCTCAACTACTGAAATTACTACAATCTCCACAAAACCCCTTTTGATACTAATCAACATATGCTCACTAGTGACTCGCCTCAACAGATATTTCCTGGAGTTCTAGTGAGAAGCAGTGACCAGTGGAGTTCAACCAGGTCTGTTGTGAAGTAGTAACTCACTGATGACAATGGTGGATGTGTTGCTGAATTTCGTGGATTAGTTTAAGTTACATATTAACACTGTTGAATACCAGCTCAGTGGTCTAGTGGTTAAGCGCTAGTGCGCAAGACTATTAGGTCCAATGTTCGAATCTCGCGATGCAGGATCGTGGATGGTCACTGCTGAGTAGTCTTACAATAGGACGAAACGTCAGTCCAGTGTTCCCAGGTTTTCCATGGTGGGCTAGCTTCAAATGACTCATGATCTCAACTATCGAAATTACTGCAATCTTCACAAAACCCCTTCTGATATTTATGGGAACAAACATTAAGTGTCATCTAAGTAAGTTTTATTATTCGAAGCTAATCAATTTCAGTCTTTAACATCAATGGGAAGATTCAAGTAAACAATACCAAGTGAATCTACTTATTTTCGATGAAATCATTTTATGGTAGATTATGAAAATTATTTTGATTAAACGATTATATGGCAATAAGGTGAAAAAGTATTGAAGCAAATAACGCACATTTTTCTACAGAATACGATAAATGTTGCTTGTGAGGTAACTAGGGAATTCTAGTGAAAATTCGCGACTAGTGGATTTCAGTTATTTTGAATGTTAGACAGTCAATTATGAATAACAGTAGAAGATAGTTGCACTCCTTTGTGAATCGATTAAAATTACACATGCACAGTATTGGATGCTGTCTCATTAGTCTTGAGGTCAAGTTTTACCCGTGAAGCCGAAAGTCATTAATTCTACCCTCGTTGGGGTCATGAGTGCACACTACTTAAGTGTTCAATATTAGCTGCCATGTGTTTCATAGTTGTCAATGATTGTTTAGTTTATATCAGTTTCTGATATCGATAACATTCAGGAATCTCCGCAAACTTTTATGCTGATAAATTAACTGTGCTTGGTTGTTTTTCCGTTGACTTCATACAAATCAATAAGTTTAATTACTTGGAAATACTAATATGATATGGGAATCAAGCAAACGAATCATCCATCAAGAAAATATAAATTGTTCAGAACATAAGTGAAGTTTAAAATGTTTTCACTTGGTTTCTATTATTGCTTTTAAATAAATAAATTTATTTGTCTGTATTTGGCTAAATAGAAACCAAAGAAATGGAATAAATTAGTTGTATTCTGCTTATAATACTATTCTTGTTTTCACTGATTGAGATCATGAGTCAATTGAAGCTAGACCACCATGGAAAATCTGGAAGCACTGGATGACCATTTCGTCCTAGTATTCTTGTTTTGTTTAGATTTCCAAAAGAACCAATGACATGGAACATTATGCTTATCATTTCTGATAGAAATCTGGGAAAATTATCCAGTGATACAAGGATTTATTAAGATATCCGCCTATTGAAATTAAACTTAATGAGTTTTAAACATTGTTCTTAGAAGAAATGACTACGTGATAATATTTGATAGAACCTGATATTGATGAAAAGACGCTATGTGGTGCAACGAAATGCATTCTATAATTTACTATTGAATTGCATACTGTCAGTGTATGCTATGAAAGATAGTGTCTCATTTATATTCATGTGAAAAAATCTAAAGTTGTTTTAATTCTTAGGGTTTATTGAAAACCATACTAATTTAATTTTACAGGTATTTCTACCTAATCGAATGTATTGTACTTTTTTTAAACTAA